TATAAAAGACATGATATAAATGATTGTTACTACTAGTTTATTTATACATAAAATAAATTGTCACGTAGGCTCTAATAAAAATAAATTTAATGATTAAATTAAAGGTACAAACTAAGAAATACTAAACTTAACAACTACCTAACAAACTCAGCTCCAGAACCCCAGAAGTTAAACATACTTCTTTCATGGCCTTCAACCACACTTTCTTCTTGAGAGCTTCATAGGTTGACAACGCAATTACCAGTTTCTTCTTGGAGCACCAAGAATAGGACTTTCGAGATACAAACAAAAATATCCAGAAGTATTTCTTTTGTCAACTCTGTCTTCATACCAATCAGAGTTTGGATAGCATATTAGCTCTGCATCTGATCTAACACTAGAAGAGAATAACACTCCATACTTCAGAGTACCTTCACTATCTTGCAGCTTGTCAAACTCTGCAAATCTCCTAGGTATTTTTTCTGACTCTATGTGGCCTCTGAACTTGTTCAGAATCTCCTTCTAATTCTGGAACAATATCTCCTTCTGGACTTTCTTCAGAAGGTTGACTACTACCAGAAGCTCCACCTTTATTAGCTTTTGGACATCGTTCAGAACCACTACCTTCGGAAATACCATCTTCAAAAGTTGGATCACCTTCAGAATTTCCACTTTCAAAATCATGATCACCGTCAAAGGCTGGATTACCTTTAGAAGCTCCTCCTTTAGAAGGTCCACCTTTAGAGACATAATTTCCACCAGAAATATGATCATCTTCAAAAGCTTGTCCTCCAAAACCTACATCTTTAGAGTTTTCCCTTCTAGAAGCATGACCACCACCAGATTCAAAATCTGGATCAAAATCACATTCACTATCTGACTCATCTTTAGAGTCTCCAGAAGATTCTTCATCCTCTGACTTTGACTCACCTTCAGAACTTTCAAGTTCTGACTCATATTCAAAAGAAGAATCTCCTTCAGATTCTGACTCACCTTCTGATTCTTCTTCAGACTTAGAATCACCTTCAGATTCTGACTTGCCTTCAGCTTCAAAGTCATCTTCTAACTCTGAGTCATCTTCAAAAACCTCAGATTGTGACTCATCTTCAGAATCTTCAGCGTCATCTTCTGATTCTGACTCATATTCAAACACTCCTTCAGAGTCATCTTCTTCTCCTTCAGAATCAGAAAGTGACAATTTCACATGTTTCTCATCATATTCATAAGCCATTAATAGCACAGGTTCATCATCAGAATCTCCTCTGGCAATTTTCTTCTTCTTCTTTGTTTGACCAACAATCTTTAGCAAAGTGGCCAAACCGTTTACAACAGTAACACTGGATCATTCTCTTGTCATACTTCTCCTTTCCCTTCTGATGTTTTTTTCCCATCAAAATAAAAGACTTCTGACTTCTGAGACCTACCATGTTTTCTCTGCTTCTGGTCCTTCTTGACAAAAGAAGCTTTCAGAGCCTGCTCAACTTCTCTCTCAGAAGTTCTTTCAGTCAGACGCAACTCTTGCGCCTCTAGACTACTTTGCAACTCTTCTATTCTCATGGTGTCCAGATCTTGAGAATGTTCAATTACTACAACAATGTAATCAAATTGAGGAGTAAGCGACATCAATACCTTCTATATGATTATTTGTTCAGAAAGGGTTTCTTCACAAGCTTTCATCTTATTAGTGATCAGAATCGCTCTAGAGATGTACTAAGAAACCTTCTCGTTGTCCTTCATGTTGATATTCTCATATTGCTTTCTGAGAGACTGAAGCTTCACCTTCTTCACTGATGCGCCACCACTGTAACACCTACTCAATATGTTTCACGCATCCGTCTTCGTCGAATCAACAATTTTCTCAAAAACGTTCTCATCCACACACTGATAGATGGAGAACAATGCCTTATGATCTTTCTTTCTTGTATCTCTCTGCGTATTTCTCTGTTCCTCCGCCGCATCTGCTGCAACCGAAACATAACCATTTGTAACAAGCTCAAGAATATCCTGAGCACCAAACGTCACACGCATCTGAATCATTCAACGATTCCAGTTTTTGTCATTAAATACTGTAAACTTGGTGCTTAGACTACCATTCCCGGTCATCCTCAACCTTGTACAGAACACTCAGATCTCACAAACACAATGTTTTCCAATCCCACATAATCTGAAAAATGTGTTTCTGTTCAGATTTTGTTCAAGATTCAACACGAATTCAAGAACCAAAATCAATCACACAACACCTCACTGTTTCACTCGTGTTTCCTGTGGATTTCAACTGGAGCTCTAGATATCAATTTGTTGGTGCACAAGGCTAATAAGTGAAGGAAAGGTAAGAGAGAATATATTTAGTGCAGTGACGGCTATAAAGCTTACAAAAGGAATGATACAAATGATTGCTACTACTAGTCTATTTATACACAAAGTAAATTGCCACGTAGATCCTTATAAAAGTAAACTTAATGACTAAGTTAAAAGGTACAAACTAGGAAATACTAAACTTAACAACTACGCTAACAAACTCAGCTCCAAAACCCCAAAAGCTAAGCATACTTCTGAGCGTAACCTCAGAAGCTTCTGATTCTGATTAATAACAACTTCTGATTACATTAAACTACTGCTTCTAACTAAGCAGTCTCATAACTTATAACTTCTGACTAACAACCTCAGAAACTCTACTGCTTATGAATAACAACATCTTCTGAATATGAATTACTTCCAACAAATTATTGGTATAACATACAATCAAGTTTAGTAGAATTTGTTAAATATGTTTTTTTAAAGAAAATAAAAAGTTGGTTTTAAAACTGATTTTTTTAAGAAAAACTTTGATTTTAAAATTGTTTTTTTTTTTTTAAATTGGTTTTAAAAAAACCGATTTAAATTTTTTTTTTTTAAAATTAATTTTTATGAGAAATTGATTTAGAACTGAACCGATCTACTTGTAAGTCCGTTTTAAAAAAATAAACTGATTTTAATGAAATGGTTTTAAGATCTAAATCAAATCACATATATAGTTTAATTTAGTTTGGTTATATATATATATATATATATATATATATATATATATATATATATATATATATATATATATATATATATATATATATATATATATATATATATATATATATATATATATATATATATATATATATATATATATATATATATATATATATATATATATATATATGTGTGTGTGTGTGTGTGGAGAGTTATACTCGTTCAATGACTTTAGTTCGGATAAATATTTTTTAAAATTAACCGTTGGATTAAAACATACTATCATATATATCATATCTATAAAGTCTGAGATTAATCTATAATGATTTACTATACCATCAAGATATCCAAAGATTGACGTCAAAATGGACTTTCATATAACGTTAATTTTGATGTAACTCAATGACATAATAAATTATTATAGATCAATCTCAAATTTTAAATTTAATTCTTATTTCGATTAATTAATTCTTATTTGATTTATTGAAATTATTAAATTTAAATAAATATAAATTTTAGTTCTCATTGTGTTCATAAATTATATATATATATATATATATATAGGGTCGGTCCAACGTGTTTGGAGGCCTAAAGAAAATTTTAAAATGAGGCATTTAAAATATATTTTAAAATAATAATTTTGTGGTTACTAAGAGTTGAACTCAAGACCAAAAGAAAAAAGAGGCTTAAATTTTAACAACTCAACTATGATAATTTATATATCTAATGTGTCATTATATATTATTATAATTAAATAAAAACAATTTGATGCATTTTTTTAATCCAAAATTTTTAAGCCTAAAACCCTGATTTTGGTGGCTTGGCCTTTGGGTCGGTCCTGCATATTTAATCGTGTCCGTATCTTATGTTTTTTATATTAACGATGTCTTTGTGTTTGTGTCGTATTCCGTATCCGAATCCAGATTTCATATTCAACCGAGTTCAATTCGATTAATGAATTATTTCATAAATTATAATTCAGTTCTCTAACTGAATAAAATAGTTCGGTTATTTAACAATAATTTGGTTTTGTTACATGGTTCGGTTCAATTCTAAGGATTTTTTTGGATAGTCCTAATGTTTAGTCGAATTACTCCTCCTATTTGTTTCTGTAAAATATCTAGATGGCACACACAGAAACTATTATGTTTGAGTCCATTATTTTCCACATCTACGCTGCCTTCGAAAGTATGTGCTTTCTCTTAGTAATGTTTCTTAAAAGATTTAAAGTTTTGTATATTAGTTTTGTTGATAAAAAATTAAATAAAGTACTATATGTTACTATTATAAGAAAACACAAGTACTACTATACTACTAGTGGGAAAACAAATTTAAGTAAATAGTAAAGAAACAAAATTCAGAAGCACCATTTCCTAAGCATGTATTTTAACTAGTTACTTATTGAAAATTGAACTTATAAATATTTTAATTATTTGATTCAACCATGCACCATTGACCAAATTGAATAATACTTGAATCCCATATGAATTGTACATCCATTCAATAATTCAATTTCAAGATGATTCATTAGAATCTCAAAGCATATCCAAATGCTGAATATTCTTTTTAGTGGTTCTTCTAGTTAAAAAAATAATAATTTTATGCGTTCGAATCGATCTATGTATCAAATGTCCCTGCACAACTATTTTCTGAGTTGGTTTAACAGAACTCATACGCCACTGAATAACTATCAATTGAATTGATTTAACATAACTCATACGCCGCTAAACAACTATCAACTGAGTTTGTTTAACGGAAATCATACGTTAAAATATATACAAAGTGACATTAGTTAGTACAGTAATTCTGAGTTGAGTCATTGAGTGAGTGAGCCACTGAATGAATCTGTCCACTAGGGTCCAATGTGTCCTTTTTCTCATTGCAGGTTTCACCAGTTTATCTTTTTGTTCACATTACTTGACCACAACATAAAACCTTCTTGTTCTGCATATTCTCTTATATATTCTCTGTCTATATACTCACAAACTCTTCAAAGTTTTGTAACACAAAAGAAGAGAATGAGAATCACTAAACTAGCCAAACAAGTTTTGCTCCTTTTGGCTTTTACCCTTGCTACTCAAGTAATACAAGGTCATAGTCAAGTTTTCTTCTAATATGACTAATTCTAGTTTCAATTGTATTTCATAGCAAGTTTTATTCATTGTATTGTTGCAACTTGCAGGTATTAGAACACAAGATTTGGTGTCTCTGAAGTCCTCTCAAACCTTAACAGAACAAAGTGTAAAGGTAAACCAAACGCAAGTGTTATCAAATTATAATTGCTTGGAGTATTTTCTCTCTCTCATGATGCTTAAATTTATGTATTGAGTATGTGGAATCATATATAGGGTAGCAATGTGGCAATGAGAACGAGGAATTCTAGGAGATTGATGATTGGATCCATAACACCAACCTGCACTTACAATGAATGTAGAGGATGTAAGAACAAGTGTATGGCTGAGCAGGTACCTGTAGTGGGAAATGATCCAGTGAATAGCCCATATCACTACAGATGTGTTTGTCATAGAGGATAGACTATGTAGCACCAACACTTCGGGTTGTAACTTTGTCTTCCGTCGACATTGTTATTGTTATGAACATTATACTTGGTGGTTACATGCAATCACTTTTTTCTCAAATGATTACCGGTGTTTATGAGTCTGTCGGTGTCGTATATGATGTATGTATCTCTGTGTCACTAGTTCATAGATGATAGCAATTGAACATTGTAATCTTTGGTTAAAGCAGGTGTTAATTTTTAGTTATCCAAAAATTGTCTTTGCTTACTATAATTCTGCTTTCCAATTCTTGAATCAGTTTTGAGTGCATATGCTTAAAACAGCTACAACTTTGCATTGTTATATTGTCATTCAATTAATGATGAGAAAACAAATGATTTAGTAAATTTTTCCATTGTTATGATTTCACTCACTTGAAACTACTGAGTAAATGACAATGTAACAAACACAGACATTGTAAGTGATTAAAAACATTGATTTTGAAGGAGGGGAAGGAGCTGCAACTACAGAGTCCATTTCAATTTCAACTTCACAGGATAGAAAATGTGAGGTTAGTTACTAGTGGGCACATGAAAGTGGTCCAAACTCTAGACATGAACAACCAAAAGATCACATGACTAACTTTTTGAATTTCACATTTTCACTAGGTGGCAAAAACAAGAACTTAACATAACATATCTAGAGGTGTGAATGGTTATCAAATTTCAAGAACCAATCCATTTTATTGATTCTAGTTTTAAAACCAAACCATTTTTTATAATATCCAATTTAAAAATGTAAAATGGTTTCAATTCAATTCAAAACCGTTTTCAGTTTGTAATCAAAACTGGTTTGTAAGGAAATTGTACCTATTTTATCTGTTATTACTAAATTTATTAATATTGTTGTAACTTAATACTGCTACAAGACACAAGACACTGACCTCTCGTTTCTTTGAATTTGCACACATAATTATATTTATTCATTAATCTTCTCAGCTTATGAATATTATTTTTTCTTTATAAATTAAATAAAAATTTAATTGAGATCAATAGTAACCTTCAGATATAAACACACCGTTCACCAAAACGCTCTCTTCTCTTTCATCAGTAACCAACACTGTTCCCCACCTCTTTTCTCCCTAAAATCTAATTCTTTTTTCTTTGATATCATGTAGCTCAGCTACTAGTGGTGTGTTCAGGTCTCTCTCTACACCACCTTTTCACCTTTGGGATGTCCGATTTGGTTTCTCTGATTTTTCCGATAACGGTTGGTCCTCTGGTTGTCTCCCTTCAATTTTTCTGTTTTTCGGTTGTCTCCCTTTGGGTTGACCGGCTTTGGTTCATTACTTCTTCGATTTGGTTCCCACGTCGTTCTCTACGGGCAGATCTTCAGATCTGGAGTTGTAGTGTTTCCTTCTGGGGAAGCTCCTTCTCCGATGAATCCTTTGTAGGTATGTGGTTTGGTTGAGTTTGGTTTATGTTTCCTCTGTTGTGGTTTGGTTGAGTTTGGTTTATGTTTCCTCTGTTGTAATCTCTTTTTATTTTATATATATTTGCCTTTATAAAAAAAGAACAAGTTATTTTTAAGTTTTATTTTGGTCTCTTATATTTAATCAAAAAAAAATTGATCTCTTATAAAAATATTTTAGTAAAACATTCTGATATCTTATTTAAATTTAGATTTTAATTTATAAATATATGATATTTTAATCAATCAAATTTACAAATACTAAAAATTATATCTAATTTTATTATGTGTTTATGCATTTACAATGTAAAATAATTTTATATTTTCATTAAATAAAAAAATATTAATTTATTATATTATTAAAATTTTTTAATAAAAAAATGATTTAATTGAATATAAGATAGTAATTGATTTACGGTATAAAAATTAAAAAAATACATCACCCCTTTTCTTTTACTACTATTATATAATGAGTTAAAATAAAATAAAAAATTGAAAGGATTAAATATGTAATTTTAATTTAATAAGATAAAATAAATTAGAAAAAAAAAAAGGAAAAGTAAAACTTATAAATAACTGAGCAGATAGAAATATAAGGGTTAATAGTCATTTATCCGGTTGTAATATAAGCGATTTTAATTTATCCTCTTAAAAAACAAAAAAAATATTATTCCGTTTAACTTTTTGGTTAGAATTTTAATATTTTAAGAAGATATATCAAAATAATTTTTAAATGAGATAAATCAAAATTCATCTATATTATATTATAGAAGGAAATGACTATTAATCCAAAATATAATTCAGTAAAGATTAAAAAACTTAATAAGGTTGGTTTTATGCTTCACGTACGTTCCTGTAACTTAAATAGAGTTTGAATGAGCAAACATATATTCCTGCAGTTTAGTAATATCATGTTCATTATATAGATGGTTTTATGCTTCACAACTCATTATAAAAAATGGAAACCGATTTTTTGTTTTAACAACAAAATGGATCTGGAGCGGTTCTCATTAACATAAATTGAATTTTTGAAATTGATGTATTGGATTTTTAAAATTGATTCATGTGAACCAGTTATTTTGCACACTCCTAAACATATCAAGCATACAAGGAGGGAGGTCCTGTCCCATTTGAAACAGTAGGTAACTTAATAGCAGGTGATTTAATCCATGAAGCAATAACATTAAAACAGACATCAAACACGACCCTGACTTAAACACAACATGTTGGCATCGGCAGAAGTTTTAAAAAATGAAATATTTGATTATAATCTCACATGTTAATGTCGTGTCAAACACTGACATATGTTGGCTATTAGACACGTCTTCTATTAGAAATATTTGTATTGCTGCGGCTTTAACAAACTTCAATTTATATTTTCATCAATTTAGTGCAAGTACCTTGGACTGGAAACATTAATTTTATTTTTTCTTTCAAGCCTAAATAAATTATGCAAATAAAGCTCCTTTGGTATGTTCTATCAAAAGATGCTTTTCTATATTGTAATTTGCCAGCTATTATGTCAACATGAAAACATGAACTCTCATTCGAAATTTAAAGCAGAAATCAATTTGAACCAGAAAGTATTTCACAAGATTCGCATTAATTTAATTTCAATCATATTTTTCCTTATATACAATTATACATTGTGCATACATGTAATAACTTGATATGCTTATGTTACACAATCAGTGTCATGTTTTTCTCCTGCCATATAGATTGGAATAGAAATAGCCTCAGAGCACAACTTGAATCTTAGCCAAAACTTAATTAGTTGTTCGCCTTGCCATGGCTTCTTGGAAAAGGGATAACATCCCTAACATTGCTAAGACCTGTTATATAAAGGATCATAAGGTCAAAGTTTAGAGTGAACCCGGCGTGCTTGACCGTTCCATTTCGACAAAGATCCAAGTACCATTCATACTTCTCTCGCGGCAAACCCAATTCAGTAATTCTGCCATACAGTAAAGAAGTAGCATAAGAGTTATTTCATATTTTACCAAGAAAATAGGCACCATTGTATAACTGTATGGATACAAATTGGCATATATACCAAAAGAAATAACTTTTATCTGGAATTTGCTTTTAAAGATTCATCAATTGCTTGGTTAGAAATCAGAATGTGGCATATGTAGTAAGAAGACATTAATGAACTAAGGGAATAGTATACATGCAGTACCTCGAGCTTATCACGGTAAGGCGCTCCTCATTTTGGCTGCCAGAAATTATAGTTCCAACCTGCAAAGGTTTTTCAAAACTTTAACACCGAACAAAACTGCACCACACTGTCACCGTCCACACAAAACACCACAATGGCAGTCACTTTTGGTCATACCTTTGGAACAACGAGATCAAATGCAGCAACAGTTTTATCATCATTAACTCTAACATAGAATGGCTTAGCTTCTTTTGGATAACTGTGAATTATAACTGGCTTCTTGTAGACGATATCGGCCAGGTAGCTGCCATGAAACAAACATAATCGTAACTCGGTAAGTAACTAGAAGTGGCGAAGGCAATACATCTTTTGTTATAAATAAAAAATCCAGAATATGACTATAATATCCATCCATATACCTTAGGTGATCTGAAGTGAGTCTAGCACCCGATTCGAACTTTGCTTCAGATTTCTTATCTTCGGCCTGGGAGGACAACCAGTAACATGCATAAACAAATATTTTTGAAATGAAAAGTAAAATGGATGGCAAAATTGAAAACGATACGTTCAGGAGCATTTGGTGAAATACATACCTTTCTAAGAACATCTAAAGCTTCATTATAGGAAATTATTTGAGGGGAACCAGATATAATTTCCCGAAGACGATCAATGCAAGTGTTGTCAATTCTTTTGCCAACAAACTTCACATCATCAGAGTGATTTTCCAAAACCCACTTACATAGGTACTTAAACAAGTCATTAGCACAGGTAATGGAATCCTGTAAGTATCACAATGAACACAAGAAATAATTTTATAAGTTTCCAAAATTTCTCATATACAGTAATTTTGCAGAGGGAAGAAGTTAAAAGTTATACCTTTAATTCAGCAAAAGCCATTTCAGCCTCAACCATCCACATTTCTGCAGCATGTTTTGCAGAATCTGTTTTATCTGCTTGAAATCTAGGTCCAAACGAGTACACATTACCAAGAGCAGATGCAAAACTCTCGAGATGTAAGCGACCGGAAACAGTCAAATAAGTTTGGGTAGAGAAAAAATCTTCAGAAGAGTCTACTCTGTCATGCTTCAATAAAGTTCCAAAAATTTTCTTTTCTCTTGCTTCCAATTGTGATTCCAGTTCAATAGTTTTCCGCAGATCCTGAATTGCTGCGGCCAGAGCTTCCTTATTGCTTTCACTTCTTTTTAAAGTTTCAACTAGTTTGCTTTTCTCTTTGGCAGCTTCCTTCACAGTTTCAAGGCTAACACCTTCAGTCTCATAAATGGTACTCAGCTTCTCCTTGTCTGCTTTCTGATTTCCGGAAGTTGTAACCTGGAACATGTTGCTAAATCCTTTGGAATCTGTGGTAGTTATAGTTGGTACTTGCACGTCAAAAAATGCATGATCCTTGAAAAATGAGTGAGTTGCAAACGACAAAGCACTACGAACTCGCATGACAGTTGCCACCTAATATATGAGCCAAGCGTCACTCAGTTAAAGAACTGAAATACATCAAACATGTATCAACTAATACAATTTATATATATGAAGAACAATCCTCTATGTTGCTGCATTTAGAAAAAGCATCAAATATTGATTCCAAAATTTACTCTGAATCTTAGTTATAAATGTTAGTTGTTGCCAAATCTAATGTATAAACAGGAGAACATTCAAGTTCTCACTAAAGCGAAAGATAATAAAACATATAGAATGAGAAGATATCAAATTGATATATAATTTCACCGTAGTTGTTCGGGGCCGAAAATGGGAGTAATCTCTTAACATATCCAATGGAATTCTCTTCTTTGATAACGGATACTTCCCAACGTCAACAGTCCCAATGTGAAGAACTTTGTCAGCCGTCAACTGAATAGCATGCTTCCCTTCTGCTGATGGCCGCTCTATCCGACCTTCCACTAATATACAGGTTCCGGTGGCCAAAAGCCGGCTCGGTGTAGCTATCGAGGATTCAACCACAACCTACGTGTCTCAAATTAACAAAGAGAAACATGAAATCAAATCAAATTTTGAAAGCCTTCATCTTCTACAATTCAAGCACATAAACATGCCATAAAAATCTAAATTTCTCAAGCCAAAACATCCGATTATATATTTCATTTCCTGAATCTTGACATGTTAATAAGCTATTTTCAACTTATTTCTGTAAGTTCTTCATAAACCACTATATATTTCACATAAAGAAGCTTAAAGAGATTGAAAAAACGCAAGAACCTGAAGTGTGGCAACGCACGAACCATCTGTGAGAAGAAGATAAGCGGTGGAAGATTTGGGAGGAAGAGGTTTAGGAATTGGAGAGTCACGTAATTTCTTGCGAGACACGTAACTGCTTCCTCCTAAAACTTCCATTATATTACGAATCAAAGGAATTCGAGACTGAAAAATCTCGACACACGATATATCTTTCGCTGGAGTTTCATTTTCCGGCGCCGGAGTTGACGGCGGTGGAGGAGGTGAAGATTTCTCAACTTCCTTCGACGACTTCACCCATCCGCCAACCACCACTGTCTGTCCTATAAACTCCGCACCGCCGTCGGTTCGGTTAAGAAAAATCGACTTTAGTTGAACTCGGTTGGAGTATTTGAAATTACTCAAGGGTTGAGATTTGGACCCAAGTGAACCGGGTTCTTGGGTTTGGGTTTCTTGGTTTTGTTTTGCCATGTTAGTGAACCGGTTATTATAATTAAAAGTGAGAGAAAGAAAAAGAACGTTTGTGTTTGTATTGGAAGGGAATTGAATAGAAACATGGTTGTGAGTATGTGATATATACAGTGGAATGAGAGAAAGATGCTTTGCTTCACTTGGAATGAGAAAATGAAGATTGGGGGAGAAGGAAAAGGATTGTTTGGGAGTTTTGGAGTAAATTGGAAGGGAAATATAATAAGAGGTATTATTGTGTTGGGTTTGGTTTGGTATTCTTTGGTTTTAGGTAATGGCTTGCTTTTATTTTATTTGTATTTCCCTACCTTTGTTGTTCAAAATGCACCAAAATAATAAGAAACCCAAGTACCCATCAATAAATCTATTAAAAAAAATCAATACCCTCGTTAAACTTTGAAATTAATTGATTTGATAAAGTATCTTTCCAAATTTTTCTAGTAAAGTAAAAAATAATAACAAATAATCTTTAAATTATTAATAATTCATCAAATTTATTTACTAAACTATTATTTTATCATATTTTACGAAGGTTTGTCCCTCAATCAAACAAGAGTTTTTATATGGATTAGATCCACAAACCAAATAGAAATTTTACCAACTAATCTTTATTATTAAGTAGAACTTTTACCAGCTGAGTTCTAGAACCAAACATAAATTTTCAATGGTTAATCTCACAAACTAAATTCAATTCTTCAAGAATATCGCACTTTGAAAAGTAGAATAATAGCAAAACATCAATACAATACTTTCCTCACAAATAGTTTTAACTCACAAGAAGCTGAGACAATCTTGGTGAAAGAAAAATATTAAGGGGGTAGGGGAAGAGTGATAAAATAATAAGAATTAGAGAAACTTCGAATGCTTGTGTGAAATGAATTGAGGAGAAGTCTCATTTATTTAGGAAAAATATTGGCTCAAAAAAGAAACAATCAATAGGTCAATTAAATGGAATAATTGATAGAGTTAATTGATTAGACACCCTAAACAATCGATTGTTAAGGCCCAAAATGGAAGGTTTTTTATATTTGGCCATTACCAATCATTAAGAAGAGATTGTCTCAATCGATTATAGACTCAATTAGGTAAATCCTAATCAATTAGGTCAGTTGTATAATTGATTATCTAATTGAGAAATTGTTCCCAATCAATCAAACATTCTCGTAATTAGTTGGCTCGACTCTAATGTAACACCCTCGTCGACTAACAGGGAACAAACATCATATAAAAATTCAGACGGACGAACATACCTGCTTTGATATCACTAATGTAACACTCTATTTTCTCAAACGCATAATTGTAATCAAATCAAAGATTTTTCACATACTTTTTACATAGGATGTTACACTTTTCCAAAATACACACGCATGTTGATAATGTAACACTTAATTTAGATAAATATTGCAACACAATATTGTAAGACACACAATTGCACTTAGGATGTTTACACGATATCAATTCATCTGATATGTATTTGATATGTTTATACGATATTCAACTCATCTGATAGCATAGCAGCGAAATCATAATTAAAACACGCAAATTTAAGTCTCACCATAAAACTTCATATTAAAATAAAAAAGCATCGACTCGTAAGTCTTCTCCAAATGCTTATCACACCAAAAACATCAACATACGAGAACATACATTGCCTCTCAGAAAATCTCAATATAAAACAAGAAATCGCTCCCAATGTTACATATCAGAGCATAACCCAAAACTAAAACAAATAAATTAAAAGAATATAGCTTCAAGAGCTAGCTCTCATTCACATCAGCTTCTCTACTCTTGAGTATCTGCACAATGCCCATGTAAATGCAACATTCAAATAGAAAGAGTGAGAATTCATTTCAACAATAATAGTATAAAATGTAAGATAGAGTACAATATCTACACAATAATGCACAACAACATATCACATTCTCATGCATAAATCATCATCAATATCATATACAACAACACCATTATCACACATAGTCATATTCTACTTATTCTTAATCATAGTATATCAATTATATTCACACACTCAACTCACCAAATCAATCACAACTCAACATTTATATATCAACAAATGTACATATGACTTATAATACAATACAACTCACCTATGCAATTTTATGCATATGCATGTGATACCAACTCAACATTTGATTCTTCATACAAGTTACTAGTCCACCCTTCTAGACTTGCACTTTCCTCTTTCACACTAATGACACAGCTGATGCATGACATATAATTGATGAAACGACTCACTAACAACAATGATTCATGTTTACATTCCCCCTTTGATACATAAACAACAACCATTATGCATTTCCACATAATCATCCACGAGCATCATTAATATGCACAAATACATCCACCAATATATTTTATCAATAATATGTAAGGTTCATTACTTAATAATCATGTCCACACCATATCAATATTACAACAACATCACACACACACCTTAACAACATTATCATGACAACATCAACATATCAACATCATTATCACACGACATTATTACAATAATGCATTGACACATCAACCGAACATATAAACCAATAACTTCACTAACATAGTAGGAATATGAATAATATTTAAATATTTCACCTATCACTATTATGTTATAGCTTTAAGTGTTAGCTCCTAACACTTAAAATTGCACGTCATTTGGATACATGGTTACAAAGTTCTTAGGTAAAACGTCAAAGCAACTCATAGTTTCGAAACAAAATTATTTTTCAAGAATGTTACAACGACAATTGATTGTCATAAATAACAACCGATTGTCATCGAGGCTAGACCAAAAAAATGCATTTTAGAGGGATGCCAACCGATTGCTTTTCTGTGCAACCGATTGTCACTGTGCAATTTTCCAAAAATATCAGTTTTAATATACGTACCCAAAATCACTTAATTCTAATCTCTTCCCAAACACTCTTTAACGTCAAAACAACTTATTTTGAGTTTCTAAGATACTAAACCGATTTACCACTATAAAATTATCACATACTCATAAATTTATTATCAAATCAAACAATTTAACAAATATAATCATGGATGTATATACTATATCAATTCCTAAAACCTTCAAACATCGTCAATGGTGGAAATACATGAACACATCAAAACAAAATTTTAGTCACACATTGAGACATAAAAATCAACAATCACAAACACATGAAATTGAAGAATGGAAAAACAAAAGAAAGGGGGGTTTGAATTTGGATTTTTAAAACTTAAAGAAAAGAACATGTTGGTTATCCTGGTTCGTTTAAACTCAAACTACCTCAGTCCATCCGCCAAGGTGATTTCGCCTCTCTCAACAAGGTTTTAATCCACTAATCAATCTTGATTACAAAACTACTACGACAATCGTCAAAGTCTTCTTGAGTATAAACCACAAGCCGGTTTTCTCAAAGAATTTCTCTAAATAATATTGAATAAAAGTGTACAAGAATGTTTTCTAATAAAACAGTATCACAAGTGATGTTTTGCACAATTTGAATTTTGAATGTTTGAGGATGAAAAAGATAGCTTCGTTACTGTCCGTGAAAAATTGTAAACGATTTATCCTTCAAACTTTGTTTAAATAGGCGAAGCATGTATGAGCTTTTGGAATGTTGATCAATGACAATTAAAGAGCTTTCCAAAAATAAAGATCATTGTTCCTTTCAGCCGTTACTTTTGAAATGGTAATAATTGATTTCTAACTCTTCAGAACATGCTTGCTTTAGAAGATGAAAGTATCCGTTGCTTCTTTCCAGAGCTTTGTAGGTCAGAAACACAGAGTCCTGTTTGCAGCGTTAGAACTTCTTTAAGAGATGTTTAGAATCAGAGTTGAAATAACTTTTTAACTCATATTCTGATCTTCTTCCATCAGAACTTCACTGCAAAATAAAATATAAATTTAGGGAGCATAATTATTCTTTGTGTTTGTTATCATCAAAACTCTTACAAGGGTTGTAATCAAACTATGTTTTAACAATCTTCTCCTTTTTGATGATGACAAAAATTAGGATATTTCAATAGAAATAGAAAGAACATAAAGCATTTTAAGGTCTCCCCCTGAGTTGAATACTCAGATAGAGAAGAAATACTTCCATGAAGTTTATTCTGATTAGAGTTTTTTGATGCATCTACTTTTATCTTCAACAAAGTTTGTTCCTGTTTTGCTTTCAGAAAAAAATGGTAGAAGTTATGATATTCAAAATGTTTGAGACTGTATCTCGATACTGTTATTAGAAATATCTTACATTCTCCCCTTTTTTGTCAAAATCAAAAAGCAATATAAACACATTAAGCAATAAAAAGGATGAGTTGTATTAAGAAGGATTGTAATAACACATTCAGAAGAAAACAATCAAAAAAATGAACACAGTAAAGAAAACAATTTTCAAAACTAATATTGAGGTGAAGGAAGTCGTGTGAACAAGGCTTCCAACAAATTATTAATTTGAGTGTTTGACTCTTCTTGTTTTCCCAACATCCCTTTGATTTCCTTGCATGTGTCATCTTGCTTGTCTAGTCTCTCCTTGAACACTGTATTTTCTTTCTTCAACTCCTTTAGAGTTTTCAGAACAAGAGATGAATAAGATATATCAACAGAAGGTGCCACCTTTTTAGAGCAAGTTGTTGTTGAATCTGATTCAATAGCTTCTTCAACTTCCTTGTCTTTGTCTTGAACTGTAACCAGAGGCAAAGGATCAAAGGATGGTTCATCATATTCTGAAGGCTGGTGATCATCCCAGGGGGCATTGTCTAGCAGAAGGAGAGGTTTATTTTCCCAGTGACGCAGAACTTGATCTTTGAAGACTTTCAGATGATCACAGAAGTTCTGTTTAGCAATTTCATAACTCAACTCCTTAAGTTTCTGGGACTCAGAATTGAACCATTTTCTGAACTGGTTCCAGTGTGAATCAGAAGAAGCATGATTAAGATTCTCTAAGCATACTAGCTTCAGAGAGTTAACCCATTCAAGCATTTCTGTTTCAAAAATCAACAAAATTTTACCA